GGCGGAGACCGTAGACTGGCCGCCGGAGGCTCCACTGGGTACCAGGAGGGAACGACCCAGTGAAGCCAGGAGGGCGGCGCAGCCACATCTCCTCGTGCAGGCGGCCCTGCATGAAAGCAGTGCTGAAGTAAAGAGAGTGTAGCTCGTAGTCACGCTGAGCAGCGACGTGCAGTAGAACCCGAAGAGTGGTCATCTTCAGGGTCGGGGAGAAGGTCTGAAAGAAGTCAACTCCCTGTCGCTGACTGAAGCCACGAGCCACGTAGCGCGCCTTGAAGACAGGCGGAGAACCCGGCGGCCGCTTCACCCTGAAAATCCACATGCCACTGACAATGTTCGCCCCAGGTGGGGGAACCTCGTCAACGTAGGTGCCTGTGGACTTCCAGGAAGCCATCTCTGCGTCCATGGCTGACTGCCACTGAGAGGAGTAGGGACTGGCTATCGCCTCTGCGTAAGAGCGTGGGGTCGGGATGTCTAGAGCATCCGGGTCTCCCTCAGGGGTAACAAGCATGGACACGAGATGGGGCAAAGCGGCAGCAAAGCACTGGAACTCCTTCTGCCTGTCCTCAAGAACGTCCGTGCCAAGAGCACAGTCACCCCCGACGGACGGAGGACAGGCAGACGCAGACGCAGCAGACGCAAACTCAGCAGACTCAGCAGACTCAGCAACAAGACAGGCACCGTAGTCTAGATGACACGCAGCAGCAAAGTCGACCAGCGCAGCAACTAGGGCTGACGCAGCAGCGGACTCAAAGGAAGGGTCAGTGACAAGAGTAGCAAGAAGACGCGTGACAGTAGGACTGGCAGCACGGCGAGAGTCCAACTCCGGGTCGGCAAGTGTAGGAAGAGAAGACTGAGGAGGAGAAGGCAAAGGGGCACGCAAGGGAGCAGTGGACGGACGCAGAGACATCCTGTGTGTGCCAGGGAGAGGAGGAGGACGCTGACGCGAACCGCGACCACTAGGGCGAGCAGCTCGGACTGGCGACGCAGGGCGGGACGCAGGCTCACGACGCTCATCAAGACCTCTTGTAGGACCAGTGTAGGGAGAAGGAGAAGGCAGGGGAGAGGCGGGCTGTAACTGTGACTGCGACGGGACAGGCTGTGGACACTCTGCGGGAGGAGAAGGACCAGTGGAAGGCGGGAGACCAAGAACCTGCTGAAGGAGTGGAACGAAGTACGGCGGAGGCCGCGCAGCACCGCCAGAGACAGCAGGGACAGCACCAACACCTCCAGAGGCAGCACCAGCACCAGTAGCAGCTCCAACTCCAGCACCTCCAGCAGCGCCAGAAGTACCCTCAGTAGGACCGACAGTCGAAGACTCAGCGCCAGCACCCGCAGCAGCTCCAGCTCCAGAGGCACCCCCGGGCCCGGCAGCTCCAGTACTCTCAGTACGAGCACCTCCAGGACCCGTGGTACCAGCTCCCTCGGCAGCATTAGAACCTCCAGCACCCGCAGCACCCCCAGCTCCAGCAGCTCGCCTCCAGCGCCGGGCAAACCACTCACGCAGCTCCAGAGGAGAGAGCGGCTCGCGGCGCGAAGAACGGTCCGGAGAACCACCAGGAACAACCGCAGCAGACGCAGCACTCCCAGGCGAAGCACCCCCAGACGCAGTACTCCCAGGCTCAGCACCCCCAGGCCCAGCACCCCCAGGCTCAGCACCCCCAGGCTCAGCACCCCCAATCTCAGCACCCCCAGGCTCAACACCCCCAGGCTCAGCACCCCCAGGCTCAGCACCCCCAAGCTCAGCACCCCCAGGCTCAGCACCCCCAGGCTCAGCACCCCCAGGCTCAGCACCCCGAGGCTCCACACCCGCAGTAGCACCAGAGTCACCAGTGACCTCGACAGGCTCGACCGCGTCTACGTGAGACACACCTGAAGGGGCAGGACCCTGAGGGGGGAGGGGATCTACCGGGGGAGGACCTGGGACCAGGAGGAGGGGCGGCGGGGGGAGGGACGGAGTGCGGTAGGGGAAGAGCCGGTAGAAGGGAACCGACTCGTCGAACGTGACGTCCTGGGAGGACAGAACACGTCGAGAGGTGGGGTGGTAGAACTGCCACCCAGGGGCGTCGGGGGGGAACCCCAGGAAGACGCAGGGAGCAGCGCGAGGGGACAGCTTGTCCACAGACAAGTCGCGGACAAACGCCCGAGATCCCCAGACACAGAACGCCGACGCATCGCCAACCTTCCCCGTCCACAGCAAAGCTGGGGAGGTCTCCGGTCTAGAGACCCTGGGCTGAAGGTTGATCTGATGCGCGGCGTACCGAACCGCAAACGGCCACAGAAAATGGGGGGCAGCCGCATGCACCATGGACGTACGGGCGACGTCCATGACTATGCCGATGCGGCGCTCAGCAATCCCATTCTGCTGTGGAGAGTCCGGAAGCGTGAAGGTCTGGCGGATGCCTCGTGCACGACAGTAGGCTCGCAGAAGGCTGGAGGAGAAATCTCCGCCTCTGTTCGAGTGCAGACGCAAAACAAGAAAGTCCGAGCCGAAGCTCCGCCTGAGCTGGAGACGAGCTGCGCGGATCCAGTCGATCAACACCTCAGTGACCTCACCCTTGCTGCGCAAGGGGAAGACTGTGGTGTAACGCGAGTAGTCGTCAACCACCAGCAGGAAGTAGCGCTCGTGACCTTGTCCACGGACGCGGGCTGGGCCCCACACGTCCATGTGAAGCGTCTGCATCGGGGCCTCCGTCGGAGGAAACGGGGAGGAGTGAGGGGTAGCCCGCAGGCGACCCTCGACACAGGGGACACAGGGAGGGCCAGGCCCCGGAGGAAGGGGAGGGAGGGACCGGGGAAGACCAGAGACAAGAAGGCGAGAGGCCATGCTTCGGAGACGCGGCAGGGAGGGGTGACCCATGCGTTGGTGCCACAGGAGGGTCTCGTGGGACAGGAGGCGACACGAGCAGGGGGCAGACTCAGGACCAGACCTGGACGCTGCAGCAAACACCAGACCTGACACAGCTACCTGACCAGACGCAGGAGGAGACGGAACAGTGAGTGTGTACAGGCTCGACCCCGGCACACGTGTGAACGTGATCAAGTGTCGACCCGTGTCTGCGTCCGTGAAGTGGGTGTCCCATCGGCGCGCAGGGGTGAACTGGTCAACCCCTGCATCCCGTAGGTCAGCACCCGCCACCAAGTTCGTAGAGAACGAGGGGAGGTAGAGACCGGACAGGGAGCCAGACGGGACCGCAGGGCACGGAAGGACAGTGGAGTAGCGAGCCAGAACAGGACCCCCAAAGGGGTCCGCCAGGGAGACTGCCACTGGCCGACTAAGCGGCGTGAGTGTGGTGCGGTCTCGAAAGAAGGAGCGAGACGCTCCTGAGTCAAGAGTGAAGGTGAGAGAGGGCGGAGCCGACGCAGTACCTGAGAGAGCAGACTCACCAGCACCTAAGGACACAGACTCACTGGCACCTAGAGCGACAGCCACACCAGTACCTGGAGCAGCAGCCTCAAGAGCACCTAGAGCCGCAGTACGAATGCCCGGCTCGGGCGGGAAACACCGGTAACAGTCACCCTCCTCACTAATAGTCACAGCATACATGGCACCAAGAATAGCATCAAAGTCAAGATCAAAGATAGCTACTCGTGCCCTATACAGCTGGTCCCAGCGAGGGATCTCATAGGCGTCAGGAAACTGGCGGCGCCAAGCGTCAGTCAGGCGGCCGAAGCAGCGCTGGGTGGAGTGTGGACCACCACACGGCTCACCCGCACGGTCGCCAGTGCGTAGGACGTAGGTGCACGGACCAGTACCCCCACCCCTCTGACGTGCAGCGTACCACTCACGGAGCTGCTGCGGGGAGAGAGTCTCCTGACCACGCTGCTGCTGCTGGCGCTGACCACCACCGGAGCCACTCCTCTGCGACGAGCCACGACCTCCGCCGCCGCCGCCACCACCTCCGCGTCCACCACCACTCCCACCGTCGCCGTCACCACCGCCGCCCCCGCCTCCACTCCCACCACCACCGCCGCCGCCGCCCCGGCCTCCACTGCCGCCGCTGACACCTCCACTCCCGCCACCACTACCGCTACCACCCCCACCTCCTCCGCTGCCTCCATCGCCGCCTCCACCGCCCCCGCCGCCTCCACCACCGCCCCTGCCCACCTTGCCCTTGCCAGAGCGACGTCTCCCACTGGGGGCAGACGCCGCACCGACCGACTCAAAACCAACTAGGTCGGCCGTAGCAGCAGAGGCGACAGAGGGTAGGAGGGGAGAGGGGGAACACCCCTCAAAGATGGGGGTGCGCTGGTCACCACGAGAGGCCCCTACAGCGAGAATGCTGTTCTCGGCCGCTAGGAGGGACTTCTCGAGGAGGTCAACAGTGAGAGTGGTGGGGCAGACTGAGAGGAAGTCGACCCTGACTCCGCGAAGGGAGTCAGGGAGGCGGGTGACAATGTGGTAGAGAGTGAAGTACATGGGGAGGGGGGTTCTGTCAGAATGTTATTTGTGTAGCCTGCAGTGGGGTGCTCAATACTGAGTACAACCCCTTAGGGTTTTCTATTTGTGTGTCCTGCTGCTTGCTAGTGGATTCATTCTTCCTTCCAATTCTCCTTCCAAAACCCTAACTCCTACTTCTAGAGCGCACACACCTACCTCCTAGTGTGGGCCTAGGCTACTAAGCCTAGGCCCCACTACCTACTATTCTAACATGTTATCAGAGCCCGTTCTACATTGGCCTTTGGGCCCCTATGCTTCCGCTGCAGTCCTTCTTCCTGCCGTGCGCTCGGGGCGCGCGGCGGTTTTCTGCCCGCCGTGCGCCCCGAGGCGCGCGGCGGTTTTCCCGTCCGTCGAAGCGCCCTCGGGGGGCCTGCGCGCTGCCCTCCCCGCTGCTCGTCGCGACGCCCGTGCGGGACCCGCGCGGCGTCGCCCTGCTCCTCGCGACGTCCGTGCGGGACCCGCGGGGCGTCGCCCCTGCTCGTCGCGACGCCCCCTGTGGGACCCGCGGGGCGTCGCCCCTGCTCGTCGCGACGCCCCCTGTGGGACCCGCGGGGCGTCGCCCATGCTCGTCGCGACGCCCCCTGCGGGACCCGCGGGGCGCCGTCCGATCCTGCAGCACCAGCCGCCGCCGGCCTGCAGCAGCAGACGCCGCCGCCCTGCAGCAGCAGCCGCCGCCGGGCCTGCAGCAACAGACGCCGCCGCCCTGCAGCAGCAGCCCCGCCGGGCCTGCAGCAACAGACGCCGCCGCCCTGCAGCAGCAGCCGCCGCCAGAGCCTGCAGCAGCAGCCGCCGCCAGAGCCTGCAGCAGCAGCCGCCGCCAGAGTCTGCAGCAGCAGCCTCCGCCAGAGCCTGCAGCAGCTGCCGCCACCGATCCAACAGTAGCAGCCGCCGCCGCTCTGCCGCAGCAGCCACCGCCGCCTTGCAGCAGCAGCCGCCGCCAGGCCTGCAGCAGCAGCCGCCAGGCCTGCAGCAGCAGCCGCCGCCAGAGCCTGCAGCAGCAGCCGCCGCCAGAGCCTGCAGCAGCAGCCGCCGCCAGAGTCTGCAGCAGCAGCCGCCGCCAGAGCCTGCAGCAGCAGCCGCCGCCAGCGCCTGCAGCAGCTGCCGCCCCTGGACCCGGTACGCCCTGTGCTGCCCGTGCCTGTGCTGCCCGTGCCTGTTGCTGCCCGTGCCTGTGCTGCCCGTGCCTGTTGCTGCCCGTGCCTGTGCTGCCCGTGCCTGTGCTGCCCGTGCCTGTGCTGCCCGTGCCTGTGCTGCCCGTGCCTGTGCTGCCCGTGCCTGTGCTGCCCGTGCCTGTTGCTGCCCGTGCCTGTGCTGCCCGTGCCTGTGCTGCCCGTGCCTGTGCTGCCCGTGCCTGTTGCTGCCCGTGCCTGTTGCTGCCCGTGCCTGTGCTGCCCGTGCCTGTGCTGCCCGTGCCTGTTGCTGCCCGTGCCTGTTGCTGCCCGTGCCTGTGCTGCCCGTGCCTGTGCTGCCCGTGCCTGTGCTGCCTGTGCCTGTGCTGCCCGTGCCTGTGCTGCCCGTGCCTGTGCTGCCCGTGCCTGTTGCTGCCCGTGCCTGTTGCTGCCCGTGCCTGTGCTGCCCGTGCCTGTGCTGCCCGTGCCTGTGCTGCCCGTGCCTGTTGCTGCCCGTGCCTGTTGCTGCCCGTGCCTGTTGCTGCCCGTGCCTGTGCTGCCCGTGCCTGTGCTGCCCGTGCCTGTTGCTGCCCGTGCCTGTTGCTGCCCGTGCCTGTGCTGCCCGTGCCTGTGCTGCCCGTGCCTGTGCTGCCTGTGCCTGTGCTGCCCGTGCCTGTGCTGCCCGTGCCTGTGCTGCCCGTGCCTGTTGCTGCCCGTGCCTGTTGCTGCCCGTGCCTGTGCTGCCCGTGCCTGTGCTGCCCGTGCCTGTGCTGCCCGTGCCTGTTGCTGCCCGTGCCTGTTGCTGCCCGTGCCTGTGCTGCCCGTGCCTGTGCTGCCCGTGCCTGTTGCTGCCCGTGCCTGTTGCTGCCCGTGCCTGTGCTGCCCGTGCCTGTGCTGCCCGTGCCTGTGCTGCCTGTGCCTGTGCTGCCCGTGCCTGTGCTGCCCGTGCCTGTGCTGCCCGTGCCTGTTGCTGCCCGTGCCTGTTGCTGCCCGTGCCTGTGCTGCCCGTGCCTGTGCTGCCCGTGCCTGTTGCTGCCCGTGCCTGTGCTGCCCGTGCCTGTTGCTGCCCGTGCCTGTGCTGCCCGTGCCTGTGCTGCCCGTGCCTGTTGCTGCCCGTGCCTGTGCTGCCCGTGCCTGTGCTGCCCGTGCCTCTTGCTGCCCGTGCCTGTGCTGCCCGTGCCTGTGCTGCCCGTGCCTGTGCTGCCCGTGCCTGTTGCTGCCCGTGCCTGTGCTGCCCGTGCCTGTGCTGCCCGTGCCTGTTGCTGCCCGTGCCTAGTGCGCTCTGCTACTGTCTGCGCCCCCGTTTCCGGGTATGGGGGTGGCTGGTGTGCATTCCTCCCTTTCCTCCTCCTCCTTCGTCTCCCACTGCTGCAGCTGTCGCTGAGGGGGGTGGTTGTGTGGGAGACTGGGGTTTAGGGTTTAAGGGGGGTGCGTGGGAGTGGAGCTAGCGGTGTAGCAGCGGGTGTGTGTCAGGGGGGGTGGGACTGTTTGGGGAAGCTGCATGGAAGTTGCCGTCCTGTAGTCCGCAGCACCTGTAGTCCGGGGCGCTGTCCCGGTAGCCCAGTGAGCTAGACTTCTACGCCAGCCGCCCGTGGGTCCGTTGCCCGTCTGCCGCTGCTTGAGCCGCGGGGCCTGTTACTCCTGTAGTCCGGGCGCTGTCCGGTAGCCGCTGTGCCAGTCTGCCTCCTGTTGCCCGTGTGTCTGCAGCTTCAGCCGTCTCCTCCTATCCCCTCTCCCCTCACTCTCTCTCCTCCTCCTCACTTGCCCGTTGTGACTACCACTAGCTTTGCTCATAATTCCTAACTTTAAACTATTGCTTCTTTAACTTGTGCTCAGAATGTGTGGTGACATTGTGATCCACCCTGAGCTTGTACTGCTTTGCCTGCTCTGCTGATTACACCCCACTTTGGCTATGGGGGTGTGTCAGAATGTTATTTGTGTAGCCTGCAGTGGGGTGCTCAATACTGAGTACAACCCCTTAGGGTTTTCTATTTGTGTGTCCTGCTGCTTGCTAGTGGATTCATTCTTCCTTCCAATTCTCCTTCCAAAACCCTAACTCCTACTTCTAGAGCGCACACACCTACCTCCTAGTGTGGGCCTAGGCTACTAAGCCTAGGCCCCACTACCTACTATTCTAACAGGTTCTTGGCGCAGAACTCAGCAGGAAGCGCAGCGCGATAGCGAGCGTCACTAGTGCGCAGGTGGGTAATGAGGTCGGCGACTGTGGCAAAAGAAGCAAGGTCGGGAAAGAGGTACGGTAGCATGAGGCGGCTCAGTGCAGCAGTGGCAGGGGAGGAGTAGCGTGCAATAATGGCGTCGTACAAGGTCTGAGCACCCTTGTACGACCCAAAGTGTGCACGCTCAGAGGGAGGGAGGTGGCGACGCACAGCAAGACGTGCAGCAGCATCGCGTGTGGCCCACTGTGAGCAAACAGTGGCATCCTCAGTAGCAGCAGGGGCGGGAGAGGCACCAGAAGTGAGATCAAAGAGAGAGAGGCCGTCAGCTCTGTCGCACTGTAGGAAAAGCAACACGTCGTCTACCCACACATCAAAGTCGATGGCTCTGCCCTCAGCGTCAAAGGTGAGGACACTGGGGGTAGCCATGACAGCAGTAGGGTGAGGGCCGTGCGGAGAGTAAAGCGTAGTGCTCACCAGACAGGGCAGTGCAGGCGGGTCGGGCGGCTCAGGCGGCTCGGCGGCTCGGCTGCTGGGCGGCTCGGGCGGCTCGGCGGCTCGGCTGCAGGGGCGGCTCGGCTGCAGGGGCGGCTCGGCTGCTGGGGCGGCTCGGCTGGTGGGGTGGCTCGACTACTGGGGCGGCTCGGCTGCTGGGGCGGCTCGGCTGCTGGGGCGGCTCAGCTGCTGGGGCGGCGGGGCCGGGAGATGCAGCTGCGGGGCCGGGAGATGCAGTGGCGGGGCCGTCAGGGGCAGGGGCGGGGCCGGTAGGTGAAGCGGCGGGGTTGTCAGGTATAGCAGCGGGGCCGGCAGGTGAGACGGCGGGGCCTGCAGATGAGGCGGCGGGGCCGGCAGGTGCAGCAGCGGGGCCGTCAGGGGTAGCGGCGGGGCCGGTAGGTGCAGTGGCGGGGCCGTCAGAGGGGACGGCGGGGCCGTCAGGTGAAGCGGCGGGGCCGTCTGAAGCAGCGGCGGGGCCGGCAGAGGGGACGGCGGGGCCGTCGGGTGCAGCGGCGAGACCGGCAGAGGGGACGGCGGGGCCGTCAAGTGCAGCCGCGGGGCTGGCAGAGGGGACGGCGGGGCCGTCGGGTGCAGCGGCGGGGCCGGTAGAGGGGACGGCGGGGTCGTCGCAGGCGATCGCGGGGCCGTCAGAGACGGCGCCGGCGTCGCGAGGGTCAGAGGGGGCGGCGCGCGAGTGGATGGCGGCACGCGCGACGCGGCGCGGCCGTCTGGGGCGGCGCGACGAGGCCGCGTAGGTGGCGCACCAAAAAAAAAAAATCGAGGGCGGCTCGACGCGATCAGGCCGCCAAAGGAAAAAAAAGGCCGAGCGCGACTCGGGCTAGGGCAGAGCGCGCTCCAGGCAGGACGGAATAGTGGGTGGGCCCTAGGAACAGTTCCCACTAGGGAACCTGCTCGATACCATATTGAGATTAGAGAGAAAAGAGATGCACTATGGAATGAAACAAGGATACAAGTACCAACCCTAATTGGGTTGTACCCCCTATGGTCTACCCCAACAGCAGCCTACATTACATGCATCAGCTAAATATAATCTGACACCAGCTTCTCATCTTCTTCAGGCAACAAACTGGGATTACTAACCCAAAAACGACTATTAGTATGTCCTGTTCCTTTAAAGAATTCTTGTAGCTTTATAGACCTGAACAGATTGGAAAAATCGTTAAAGATTTCAGAAGGAGAAAACGGCTGCACATGAGGTAAGACAAACTTGAGTCCTAGCCCTAGAGCACTACGTTTAGCAGGTGTCAGGCTTGTCAGAATGAGAAACGAGAACGAATGACTAGAATGAGGGTTGGGTACAAATAGGTCAAACCTAACCCTAGAAATGTGTACCCACTATAGGCTATCCCACTGTAGCCTAAACAAGCACAACATACAATGTTTGACACACCCCCATAGGCAAAGTGGGGGAGAACAAGGGGTCACAAGACCAGTCAAAGCAAAGCAAAGCTCAGGGTGGATCTCAAGGATACCACATAAGTTCCGAGCACAAGCAAGCGGTCACAAGACCAGTTCACATGCAGATTTATAAAAGAACAAGAGATACAGTGATCACAACCTAGCAAGAGTAAGCATGCAGATATATATATATATATATATAGAGATCACTGTACAAGCAAAGTCAAGAAGTGAGCAAATGAGGGACAGTCGGCACGAGGCCTAGAACAGTACAGAAGCGCTGATGGTCACAAGGCTGAAGTGCCTTGGTGAACACGTCAGCAGTGTTGGCCCGAGTGGCCACGTAACGCAGACAAAGCTGACCTCGCTGCTGCAGCTCTCGAGCAAGAAAGTAGCGCAGAGCAATGTGCTTCGTCCTGTGCTCCAGTCTGTGCTCCCCACACAAGGCAATGGTGGCCTTGTTGTCCACGTACAGTACTGGAGGAGAACGAGGCTGCTCTCCAAGGTCAGTCAGCAGGTAGGTGAGCCAGCGAAGCTCCTGGGCAGCCATGGCCGTGGCGTAGATCTTAGCCTCACAGCTGGAGCTGAGAACAGAAGAAGAGCGAGTAGAACGCCAAGAGACAGAGCCAGAGCCAAGGCTGAAGGTGTAACCCTGGGACGACCGCTGAGTAGCCTGGTCGTCTGCCCAAGAAGCGTCTGAGTGCCCAGTGAGAACAGGCCGGTCTCGCCCTCCAAGCACTAGCCCCATGCCCGACGTACTGCACAAGTAGCGCAACACCCTCTTAGCTGCATCCATGTGCTCCTTCCGGTGACGGCCGGGAGCGACATAGCGTGCTAAGATGCTGAGAGGGTATGCAAGGTCAGGTCGAGTGCAGGTCATCAGGTACATGAGGCAGCCCACAAGCTCTGGATACGGACCACTCGACTCTACGGACTCATCCGAAGGCAGAGCTGAGAGCGAGTGTCCCGTAGGCAGAGGAGTGGACTGAGGCGAGGAGTGCGTGAAGCCGAAGCGCTGAAGGACCTGCTGCACCATGTGTGACTGAGTCAAGGTGATGGTGCGCCGTGCTCTGTCCCGGGTGATCCGCAAGCCAAGATAGCTTGTTAGTTCACCCAGGTCTGTCCACGTGTGTCTCTTCTGCAGTTCAGACTTCACGTGAGCGAGACCAACTGTGTCAGAAGTGGCAAAGACCAAGTCGTCGACGTACACGAGGATGTAGAACGGCGACAGTGAGGGGTCGGTGCGTAGAAACAGCGACGGGTCAGCAGTAGAAGGAGCGAACCCAAGAGCCGCAAGTGTAGTCCTGAGTGTGTCGTGCCACTCACGTGGCGCCTGGCGGAGACCGTAGACTGGCCGCCGGAGGCTCCACTCGGTACCAGGAGGGAACGACCCAGTGAAGCCAGGTGGGCGGCGCAGCCAGATCTCCTCGTGCAGGCTGCCCTGCAAGAAAGCTGTGCTGAAGTCAAGAGAGTGGAGCTCGTAGTCACGCTGAGCGGCGACGTGTAGCAGAACCCGAAGAGTGGTCATCTTCGGGGTCGGGGAGAAGGTCTGGAAGAAGTCAACTCCCTCTCGCTGACTGAAGCCTCGTGCAACGTAACGCGCCTTGAAGACAGGCGGAGAGCCCGGCGGCCGCTTCACCCTGAAAATCCACATGCCACTGACGATGTTCGCCCCAGGTGGGGGAACCTCGTCGACGTAGGTGCCTGTGGACTTCCAGGAAGCCATCTTTGTGTCCATGGCTGACTGCCACTGAGAGGAGTAGGGACCGGCCATCGCCTCTACGTAAGAGCGTGGGGTGGGATGTCTGGTGCATCCGGGTCTCCCTCAGGGGCAACAAGCATGGACACGAGATGGGGCAAAGCAGCGGCAAGGCAACCAACCTCCTCCTACCTGTCCTCAAGAACGTCCGTGCCAAGAGCACACTCACCCCCGACGGACGGAGGACAGACAGACTCAGACTCAGCAACAAGACTCGCAGCGTAGTCTAGACGACACGCAGCTGCAAAGTCGACAAGCTCAGTGACTAAGGCAGACGCAGCAGCGGACTCAAAGGAAGGGTCAGTGACAACCGTAGCCAGGAGACGTGTGACAGTAGGACTGGCAGCGCGAAGGGTGTCTGACTCCGGGTCAGCAAGAGCAGGAAGAGAGGACGCAGGAGGCGACGGGAGAGCGACACGCTGCGGAGCAGTGGACTGACGAAGCGCCATCTGGTGAGTGCCTAGGACAGCAGGAGGACGCTTACTCTGGACACGACTACCAGTGGTAGCAGCACGAACAGGCGACGCTCGACGAGAC